AGAAAATAACAAACCGAATTACTTAATTCGTCCCATGAAAAGGGAAAACATTGTTGTTCTGATTACTAAATTAATTAAACAAGGAAAAGTTCGAAGCCGAAATATTTTCTCCTTTCAATGTTGTACTTCATCAATATTCCATAAAGTACTCTTCTCACTCCTGCAAGAAAAAATAAAAATCAAAAGATCAACAGCTTGAAACCATTTAGCTTGCACTTGTAAGATAAGCAAAAAAGAAAAGCAATCCCTTTTATTTTTCCTTATAAGGGGAGGGGGTTGGGCGGACTCAAGAAGCCTGCATAGAGAAAAATGTTGATAATGCATGATTAAGAAATTTCATGTTATTAGTTCTCATGTGAGTGCCCGAAGCATTAAATCAAAACAAATCATCCTAGAAAAATTGTAAAACCCCGTTTGAGCCCCATTTTTCTAAAATTCATTTTTTCGAAATTCATTTTCAATCACAAATTTTTCAATAAAATAATATTAAATGCAAATCCAAAATTTTTCCTTAATTTTTAACCACACATTTCCTATCAATCTACTATTCAAAATGCATTCTTTCGCCCAAAAATGGGGCTCAAACAAGGGCTAATTATTTTGATATTTCATGGAGCTGAAACTTCGATCTAATAATGTTTTGTTTATGAATGAAGAGATTAATATCACAAATATTCTTACCACTTATTGCTATGTGAAAGAATTTAACTTACATTAAGATCAGGGAGATAATTGGTTTCAGCCGATGAGAATTCTGGAGGAGACACAAGATGCTGAGGCCCTTCTTGCCTTCTCAACAAAAGCTGATTAAAAATAATCTTATTGAACGATGTTATGCCTTTGATGTATATTTAACAAGAACAATATAAAAGCAATAAAATATAAATGTTGGATGATTTACTACATGGTATTAAGGTTATCACTCACTGAATTCAAGTTGTGAAAATTCATTGGATTGGCGGGGTGCTCATTAGTGTCTCCACGACAGTCTGCAATTGTTTGACCCTAAATCAAGGAGTAAAGGGAGAGCATGATCAGTATAAGGAATGATTTGAATATTCAGTTATCCTCTCATCACTGATATATAGTACTATAGTAGTTGAGATCAACAAAACTTGTCATAATTAAATAATATAAAACTAGTTTCAAAATTCACCCAGTTCAACCATAAACTCTCAGACGAATATGATGCAATTTTTAATCTTCTAAAATATTCACAAATATTCTTACCAATTATTGCTATGTGAAAGAATTTAACTTACATTAAGATTGGGGAGATAATTGGTTTCAGCGGATGAGGATTCTGGTGGAAACACAAGATGCTGAGGCCCTTCTTGGCTTCTCAACGAAAACTGATTAAAAATAATCTTATTGATATGCCTTTGATATATATTTAACGAGAGCAATATAGAAGTAATAAAATATAAATGTTGGATGATTTACTACATAGTATTAAGGTTATCACTCACTGAATTCAAGTTGTGAAAATTCATTGGATTGGCGGGGTGCTCATTAGTGTCTCCACGACAGTTTGCAACTGTTTGATCCTAAATCAAGGAGTAAGGGGAGAGCATGATCAGTATAAGGAATGATTTGAAAATTCAGTTATCCTCTCATCACTGATATATAGTAGTCAAGACCAACAAAACTGTCATAATTAGATAATATAAAATCAGTTTCGAACTTCACCTAGTTCAACCATAAACTCTCAGACTGATATGATGCAATTTTTAATCTTCTAAAAACTTCAGTATTTCCTAGAATACACGTGAAATTTACTATACTACAAGCTTGAAACTTCGTAAACATGTATTTATGTTCTTCCTTTGAAAGTGGGAAGGCAGCATAACTGTAAATCTTATGTTTTCTTTCCAGTTCCGACAAATTTAATAAAAATGAACAAATACCTAGTACGGGGACTGAGCCACTAGGTTATGGGTTCAACGAATGTCATGTGTGAACGGCTTCTACCTTAGAAATGTTATAGTAAATGAAAATGAATGGAAATTTAAGATGCACAATTTATACATGGAACTCCAATTTATATTGAATTCTCTAAAAATAAAGTCAAATCGTTGAGTTAAATTAAATTTAAGTACGAACATCAATAACTAGTATTACTCACATTAGTAAAGTTATAGTAATCAAAAATTAAATGAAAATTCAAGAAAGAACTTATAATGGCACTCCAAATTATATTATGTTAGCAGAAAGTCAAAATCTAGAGTTCAGATAAATCTGAGTACAAACATGAATAACTAGTATGGCTTATACATTATAGTAACCAAAAACTAAATGGAAATTTAAAGTTATTGAATTATGTAAGAAGAAAGTCAAATTATAGGGTTAACGTAAATCACAATACAGGCATGATTAACTAGTCATAATAAAATTTTACATTGCTCATTTTAAAAGGTAGCAAAATCATGCAAAATAATTTTCTAATCAATTTAGTTATTAATTCACGCGCATGTGCAAAACCTTGAAATCAAAATCAATCCCAATAGACACAGAAAGTAGTTGAACATTTCATGGACCAAAATTTTTTAATAACGATGTATAAAAAATGTTCAGTTTTCATATGAAGAGATTGACATCACAAATATCAACACTGTTACCCATCATACTATTGCTAAATGAATTTATCTTACGTTAAAACCCTGCCGATAATTGTTTTCAGTTGATGAGAAGGATGGTAGAAACACATGATGCTGAGGTGCTGCATAGCTTCTTGTGACCAAGGCCTGATGAAGAAAAACTGTTCGCTAAAAATAATCTTATAGAACGATGTCATGCCATTAAGTTATACAAAACAGGCACGAAATAAAACTAATAAAAATATCGTGGATGATTTACTACTTAGTAGGTTGTATCACTCACTGAATTCAAGTTGTGCAAATTCATTGGATATTCTGGGTATTGATCAGTGCATCCACGACAGTCTGCCACTGTTTGCTCCTAAACCATGCAGTAAAGAGTGCAAGTGCGTGATCAGTACAAGGAATGATTTGTAAAATCCAGTTATTTCTCTATCCATTGATAGTAACCAACAAAACTGTCATCATAATTTAAAATTAAGTTGGAACATCACCTTGTTCAACTATAAACTCAGCCTGATATGATGCAATTTTTAATATTCTAAAACCTCTTTTCTTGATTCAAAACTTCATTGTTTCCCGGAACACATACATATAAATTTATTTACATACTATTAAGTTTGAAACTTTCATCCACATACATTCTCCCCTAGCAAATGGGAAGGCAATATAATTTGTAAATCTTATATTTTCTTTCCAGTTCTACAAATTTAAATACAATAATGAATAAATAACACAGTATGGAAACAGGGACACTAGATTATGGGTTCAATCATTGTCACTGGTCAACGACTTATACATTAGAAGTAATTGAAAATTAAATGAAAATTCAAGAAAAACCACTCATACATGAAACTCCAAACTGTGTTGAATTCTCTAAGAAGATAGTCAATTTCTAGAATAAGCTAATACAGGTACAAAAATTGATAATTGTTATGACATATATATTGGAAAAGCCATTGTATTCAAAAACTAAATGAAAATTCAAGGAAAAACAACTTATAATGGCACATAAAAATATATTGACTTATATAAGAGAGAATCAAATATGAGTACAAATATGAATAACTACTAGGGCTTATACATTAGAAAAGTGATAGTAATCGAAAATTAAATAGAAATTCAAGAAAAAATTAACTTATACATGGCACTCCAAATTATACTGAATTATCAAAGAAGAAAGTCAAATTCTAGAGTTAAATTAAATCTTACAAACATGAGTAACTAGTCAAAATAAAACTATAGATTGCTTATTTTAAATGGTAGCAAAATCATGCAGGATCATTCTCTAAGAAATGTCATGTTATTTATTCATGTGCACATCCATAAAGTATGAATTCAAATCAATCGTCCTGCAGACACTAAAAGTAGTTGGACATTAATTTCTTGGAGTTGAAACTCCTAAAATGATGTATTTATAATGTTTTTTCCTTTACGTATGAAGAGATTGACATTAATACTATCCACCAAATTTTTGCCATGAGTAAGAATTTATCTTACATTAGAACCTTGCCGATAATTGGTTTCAGCAGCCGAGAATGATGGTGGAAACACAAGATGCTGAGGCACTTCTTGGCTTCTCATGAGCAAGGCCTAGTAAAGAGAAGGTAAACTTGTAGAACAGTAATCTCATAGAACATGTCATGCCATTAATGTATATTTAACGTTCACGATATAAAACTAAAAGAATTAATATTCAGGTTGTATCAACTCACCAAATTCAAGTTTTGCAACGTCATTGGATATGCTGGGCTCTCGTTAGTGTTCATTGGATTGGCTGGGCACTGATGAGTGTCTCCTCCATGAGAGTCTGCTGATATTTCCTTCAAATCAAGGAGCAGTAGAGGATGCAAGTGCATAATCAGTATAAAAATAATTTGTAAATTCATTTATTTCTCTGTGTTAATAGTCTATAGCCAAAAATCATAATTTAAAATCAAGTTGGAACTTGAGCTTGTCCAACCATAAACTCTTAACCTGATATGATTCAACTTTCAAACTTCTAAAACCTATTTTCTTTCCCCACAATAAATAAATAATTTTGTGATTCTTTCACCCAATACACATGCAATTTACAGACTACAAAGTTTGAAACATTTCATCCACGTATGTTCTTCCCTCACAAGTGGGACGACAAAATGAAATTTTGTAATTATTATTTTTCTTTCCAGTTCCTCCAAATGTTAATACAAAAATGTATAAATACATCACTATAGCCACTAGGTTATGGGCAAATGGCTTATAAATAGAGAAGTCTTAGCAATTGAAAATTAAATGAAAATTCAAGGAAAAACAACTTATACATTGTACTCCAAATTATATTGAATTAAGCACAAGTCTAAGTGTAGAATTAAATTAAGCCCCATTTGGTAAATATTAAAATCAGATTTTCAACATATTTTGATAAAAATTGATGGAATATGTGGTTGAAAACTTGTGAATCCTATGAAATGTACAGTTAAAATTAATTGTTGACTTTAACTTAAATTTTAATCAATTTTTTTAATAGTACCAAATAGGGGCTAAATTCTGAGAATAGACATGAATAATGTCAAATATACATATTTTATGTGACTTCTAGTTTTTTGTTTATGTGGAGTACTGTTATCCTTTGAATAAACTAAAACTGAATGAATAGTTAATAAAAATTAAGAATAATTTTTATCAGATAAGGGATCCCCTATGATGCTCCTATCTAAATGCAAACAGAAATAAAATAAGATACTAATCTAATTATTTATATCTTCATTTCACCTATAAATTATCAGCAGATGTTTAAGAATAAAAAGGTAAACTACTATGATATCAGTGAAATTATACACACAGATAAATTCAGACCAAAAAAGAAGACAGCTTCCAAACGATGTGTTTCACTAACTAAATGAATAAGGTATTATTATTTAAGAGTAGCATTAAACATTGGCTTGGTCTACTGGCTGAGTTCATTATGCAAGTCTTGAGTTGGAGCTGAACTAAAATTTCCGATTTAGACAACTGGGAGGTTAATTATGGTACTGACCTGTAATACTAGTTGAGGACCTCGGGTTGTCTTTTTTCATTGTCAATCTAAATTAAGAGAACCGGACCAACCCAGTGGCCAATTACTCCATTCCTGTCATCTTTTAATCACTATGTTTTATAGTCTATTTCAGATTGAAGGTATTAAGTGTGACAATTATGTTGATTCTAATACATATGCAGGGTAGAATATTACAAAAATAATAAGTTTAGATTACCAAATGCAACTTCAATGAAAACACATGAACAATAAGTGGTATTTTGTGTATTCATATTCAGATATGGAGCCTAAAAGTGAGAAAGGGACATTCAAAATATTTGGTCTTGGCTATTAGTGGTTGTAAATTGAAAACATTGTAATTAGAAAAGGACAAACGTGATATCTATCAGAAGAGACAATTTTAGCTAGGAAGCTGAGAAGCTCTTCACCCATTATTGCCGTGAAAACATCACGGCGCCGCAGAGATTGGCGACTGTTATCTTCTGCGTTCATCCAAGCTCGAAGTGTGAGATCCAAAATGAAGATCTCACAAGCTTTTGCAAATAATATTGGAGTGTCAGTGCTGATCATCTGAAAATATGTTCGAAACAAAGAAAATACTGAGATGTTATGATGCTCAATATATAATAACTTCAATGGAGCTACAATGTATCAAATTCCTAATCTTAACTAACAGGGGCAGAGGAAGCCCATGGGTACCCCAAAGTCCACTTAATTTTTATAGTTAAAAAAAAAAACTACATAAATCTTCTTTTTCTATGTATGAGACCAAAAAAAAAAAAAAAATAGAAAAAATAAATCTCCTGCTGACTCCCATGTGTTACCAATTTATTATTAAATATAACTAATTATCTTTATGAAAGAGTTCAAATTCCTATTGAACGAAGCAACTAAAAGAAATCAACCTTACACTAACGTATAGAGTTTTTAGCATTTTCTGCAGAGAATTTAGTAGAGTCCGCTAGTCAACTATGGAAATTTTCTTTCGTTTGGGGATTTGGTAAGAACCAAGCATATCAAGATATGCCTACCTTTACATTTTTATCAGATTTCATTATCTTTCTTATCCGAGCAAAGGGAAGCACATGTTTGTACCGTATATCTGCAAAATGAGCGACATAAAGAAAATAAAATAATTAACAAATGAAGTCTATGCAGAAGAAACACCATTTTTTTATTTTTTATTTATTTTTTATTTAATTTTTTTTTGGTTTCCAACAACAAGATAAAATATGGATTTCAATTTATCAATTCAATAACTCTAAAAATCAATGCACTCATTAATTTCAGCCATTACCACATGGGCAAATGTAAAATAGCAGTAGTTACTAGTGCTTTTTGACTTAAGTGTATATTGGAATAATTATAGCCTGAAAAATTGCGAGGCATTTTTTTTCTTTTGGATCATTGATGGAAAAAAGGAGTCATACTATTTCTTTCATGTTTACAAGATTCGATCCTCCATTAGCAAAAAGTCCTTTCATATTGATTACATTTTTTCACAATAACTGCAAAGAGGGGTAAAATGAGAAAATTCATTACAAGATCACGTATTCATAGACTTTAAGAAGTACATGTGCAACAAAAAAACTTTTGGCAAGGCCCTCAAGGATGAAGAGAACTGAGGACATCCCCGAAGAGCAGAGGATTTCATGACATTTCGAATTGGGTGTCTTCTATTTCTAATAAGTTGTTTGTAGTTGGCTTGTCGAATCATAAACATAATAGCAAAGTTATTTAGCACCATTAATGTTAAAATATCGGTCTATGGGGCACTAATGTAGCATTAAATGAGAGATATAATTAAATGAATAATTTAATTCAACATTTCATTGACTTTATCATTAAACGCTACCTAAACTGGTGTTCAAGAATTACTAGTACTAGGTAGCATTACTCTATACATAATGGGCTGGTTTAGATTCATCATAACCGGATGATTATGAATTATATTGAATTGATGGTCCAACCTTTCGTTTCTAGCATAAATTCTTTTCTCAGTGCAAAAAGTTTAGAGCTCATATCAGGTATAAAGAGATTTAGATAATTCTGAACCGTAAATAATTGCAAGTTAATGACATGGGAACAAGGTGGATAGAAACAAAAATTAAGTAAAGCAAGTGGAGCAGCAAAAATTAAGTAAAACAAATTGGTCAAACGGTTGGAGAATTTTGCACCACCCCGAGAGTTACGGATCTCAGCCAGTCGATCATTCCAAAAAGTTAGCATGTTTTGCCTTAATAGATTCTTAAAATGAAAACTCCTGGCCTCTCCATCCTTTATATAACACAAGTAGATGATTTCTATGAGTTAAAAGATGAAACTGATAAAAAGTAAAGGTATAAGCATGAAAAGTACGGCAGCTATCAACCGATAGATTCTTAAAATGAAAACTCGTGGCCTCTCCATCCTTTATATAACACAAGTAGATGATTTCTATGAGTCAAAACATGAAATTGATAAAAAGTAAAGGTATAAGCATGAAAAGTATTGCAGATTTGGTTCAACTGCTACCTGATTGCTGTGACCTAAAAAGAAAGGCGGCTTGTCCATAAAGTTATGTGCCTATGGTGGAGGATTTGAAGACGGAAATTGAACAGGAGGGTTGAAGTCCAAAAGGTTTGCGTCCTTATGTCTATCTATGTAAATACGGTGTTTATAAATAGGTGCATTCAGATGCATACATAAAAAGGTAGATTAATAGGACAGGGATGAGTATTAATTTGGCGTTATCATTATATGGAATTTATTTTATACCGTCAGCATATTAATAAAAATAAGAATAGTGGCATCTGAAACAGGTTTGTAGCATTAATGACCCTAACCTGCTCTTCAACGAATGTTTGGGGATTTTGATAATTTGACTCATTATATGGTAAGTGCGCTGTCCAATCAACTTGTAGGCTCGTCGAGGAAGTGAGATTTTAGACAAGTCAAGATTTCCAAAGTTGCTTACTCGTATCTTTTTCCCTCTGCTAAGACCTTTTACCTTCCAAATTCCAACTCTTGTGTTAATGTCATTTTGTAAATTTGTGACCCCCTTTCTTTGATTGTAGTTTCTGTACTTCCGTTCTTCTCAGATCCATACATGGAAATCAGATGATTGAAGCCTAGTAGACAATTTGTCACATAGTTAATGTTTTCATTAAGGTGTCATCTTGACTCACATAGGTCTGAATCATGGTAATTGAGCCTTTTCTTTGAGATTTAAGGAAAACTTCTCATGGAATATTCTATCAACGTAAATAAATTGAACCTTGCAATGCAAATAAATGTTCATAATTATATGGCACTCAATCAAAAGTTTCACGAGGAAAATTTATCTTCAATTTCCTAACTGGATTTTAAATTAAAATTTCATGCAAGATTAAGATATGTATGGATATTGAATATGAGTTTCACTTTTCATACCGTAGTGCCAAATGCTAATGCTTGCCTGCAAACATTGGTAAGTATCTCTCCATTCTGCCTTGTGTTTGAATCTAGGCTTCCTGCAATTGCATTTGTTGATCAATACTACTAGGACTTCTGAAATCCAAGGAAAAATTACTAGTTACTTCTTTGGTATATAAAACCTCCCTCTAAAATATCTAACAAGGAAAACAGAAATTGTTACCAGTGGTGCTGTAATATTCATGAATGCACACAAAGGAGAAAGATATAAAAAGTAACTCCTATATTCAGTGTTTGTGGGGGCAGTCCCGTGTAGCTACCATAGACAATACCATAAATAAATGTGCCAATTTTATAAGGGGAAATTGAACTTTCTTAACTCTTAGTATAGTGTTTACACATATCAAAGAAGTATTAGTACATTGTTCACGGCCTTCTTTCAGCAACTAAACCTGCATATATGAGAAAATAAAAAATTAAGTAATTATGCTCAAAATGATTTCCAATAAATATAAGTGATTGGAAAGGAATGGAAACTTGAGGATGTTTTACCATGATCCAATATGACCTCTGTGATTGCCTTCCTACTTGCCATCACAAAACAGGTTCAGCGTGTAGAAGGGCTTAAGCTTCCGTATCAAAATTCCCTAGAACAAAACATAACTAAGAAACCATTATAAATGAACAAGATAAGGAAAAAAAATACCTTATAATGGATGATACAATGGCTACACATTATAGTCTCTCCTATTACAACGTTTCAAATTGTGTTTCAAAGCTTTAGAAAGTTTACATCAACCTCTGGACAAGCTGCTTAAGTGGCGATATTCTCTAAACAGAAACTGCTATTATATTATCAAACGAAGGACCTGTCAAATGCTAGGAGCCTATCAGATGCCTTAAGATTTTAGCTACTTGCCAGATGGATCCATTTCGTTAGTTAACCTTAATAAATATTAAAAGTATCAGATCTTCCCATCGAGGTACAATACAGGCTATGGAATAAGATAATTCACCCATAAACATGGGTGGAAAAAAGTACAGCTATCGTTGCTAAAAGAAATAATAAAAGGACTTAATTTGGAGGGGGAAAAAAGGACAAACGATAAGCACAAGAAAGAGGTTCGCTCTTCCATATGTCTACCCGCTTAATTTCTTAAAAAGACAATCAATTTCATACGAATTTATTGCAGCAGAAAGATAGATGTTAAATTCCTAACGGCCTTTTCATGTTTGAAGGGAGTAGAAAATTATCTCACAAATCATCAAACAGAGAAAATACATTCTAGTGGCATAAAAATACTCATTCCTTTTAAAAAGAATGTACCTAGATTCGATGGATTTTTTACATTGTATATTAGGGCGATATTCTCTAAACAGAAACTGCTATTATATTAGCAAACAAAGAACCTGTCAAATGTTAGGCGCCCATCAGATGCCTTAAGATCTTAGCTACTCGCCAGATTGTTTCAATAGTTAACCTTAATAACTATCAAAGTATCATATCTTCCCATCGATGTACAATACAGGCTACAGAATAAGATAATTCACCCATACATTGGCAACTGAAAACTCAGAAAGATGATAAACAAGGGTGGAAAAAAGTAAGCTATAGTTGCCAAAAGAAATAATAGCCATAATTTGAAGAAAAAAGGACAAACGATAAGCATAAGAAGTGGTTCGCTCTTCAATAATACGAATTTATTGCAGCAGAAAGATAGATGTTAAATTCTTAACAGCGTTTTCATGTTTGAAGGAAGTAGAAAAATTCTCTGAGACAAATCATCGAACAGAGAAAATTCATTTTGGTGGCATAAATAAAAATACTCATTCCTGTTGCAATGAATGTACCTAAATTCGATGTATTAGTTGTAATGTATATTAGGGCATCAAGACTCTGCAAAATAATTACCATTAGTCAAAGTAAAAGAATACCTAGTGGAATGGTGATAGCATAATTCTGACTGCTGACCACCATTGATGCAGTCTGCAACTTTACTGATTCCTTCAATCAATTTCAGATAAATGAACATAATATAATATACCAATAAAAATCATTAGCTGCTGAAAATTAGATGTTAAATTATAGACCCTTGGTAGATGTTTGAAGAAAGTAGAACCATGGTTGTTATATTCTCTCGATCCCGATGTTATGATCATATATAGTTCTATTCTACGATCCAATTCTAATAGGAAAATTGAATTGTAGAATCCTGTGGTTCTGTTGCTGGATTTTAACCATCTTATCAATTCTAATGATTCCACGATCCTCCACTTTTTTCATTATTTTAAAGTTTTTTGCATTATTATTTAATAGATTAATTTGGCTAGATCTTTTTTTTCTTTTTTATTTTTGGGTGACGGGACTGCAACCGCTATCCTTCGTGGATAAACTCTCTGGCTGGATCCTCCGTCGACACAGAGTTCCATTTAGAAATTGAAAATTTATAACCAAGGTAAATTAATTAATTAATATTCAAAATTAATTATATAACATGTGTTATATATATATATATATATATATATATATATATATCCGCTATCCTTCGTGGATAAACTCTCTCGCTGGATCCTCGGTGGATACTTAGATAGAGTTCCATTTAGAAATTGAAAGTTTATAACCAAGGTAAATTAATTAATTAATTAATATTCAAAATTAATTATTGTGTTATATATATATATCCGCTATCCTTCGTGGATAAACTCTCTCGCTGGATCCTCGGTGGATACTTAGATAGAGTTCCATTTAGAAATTGAAAGTTTATAACCAAGGTAAATTAATTAATTAATTAATTAATATTCAAAATTAATTATTGTGTTATTTTTTTTATTTTATTTTTAGCTTTCTTGATTTATTGACGTGTGGAACCAAGCCAACAAATTTGTTTTACGTCACTTCTACGACTGCACCCAAACTTCTCTAGAAATTGGAAAGTAATTACAAAACCAATTCCCCCTTTTTTGTTGTTGTGAGGAAGTAAGTTGACCAAATTTCCATATTCTCCCGTTCTTTTGTTATCCCTTTCATGTAAGAAACATAGCAAAAACACACACATACATGAAAAAATAATAAATAAATAAAAATGTGGCTTCAATAATGACCATGATATCCGTTGCCACTAGTCTTCACAATGAAAAATGATCAAACGTAAATTCATTGCTAATTTGAGGGTCAACAATAGTTACCAGGGCAATGGTAAAACCTTAACCAACGGAATTTTCCTTAGGAAAAATATTGTAATTGCGTATTCATATTTAGTTAATAAATGTGTTAACATGACCTATGAAAGTATTGTCAATAACTACGAAAATTCCATAGGTAATATCATGTTCCATTACCTATGGATTTTTAGTATGTAACGGATTATGCTTCAATACTCTCGGAATATCCATAGATAATGACAATGTTTTTCACCTACACCTATGGAAAATTCATACGTTAAGCTCACATTTTTAATAAAAATCGCTAAAAATTAATATATCTACTAATTAATAATCAATATTATCAAATCACACCAACTAATAAATCATCAAAAAGAACTAGAGTCATCTATCCATGAATCAGATCGAACTCGGGCTAATCATCCATAACTCTATTATACTTGGACTCGATTGAAAGTATTTTGTAAAAACAAAAACTAATTCTTGTCATACTCACTATATGAACAAATTATGAAGTACCCAAACTCTAGTTGTATTTATATGAACTCGTTTGAATTTTTATGAACAAGATCATCAAGGTTAAAGAACTTGATTGGGATATTGGATAGTCCATACCTTTTCCTAAAAATAAGTGACCCATTAATCAAAATCAATGAAAGTATAAATGAACTTAAAAATACAAACTATAAGATTTGATTGGGACATTGGATAGTCCATACCTTTACAACATTGATTTTTACCAATTGTAATGGTAGACATTTACCAACGGAAAGCTAGTTGGTATTGTTTAAGATTTTACCAATGGAAATTTCGTTGATTAAAGATTCATACTTTACCAACGAAAAATAAATTCGTTGGTAAAATGTTTACTCTTTACCTACGGCAGAATCCGTTGGTAACTATTAGCGATCCTCAAATTAGCAACGGATTTGCGGTTACAAATATTTCGTTGGTAAAAAGTAATAGCAACGGATATCAAGGTTTTAAGAACGAAAAATCCGTACCTGAAGCCATGTTTTTTAGTAATGTACTTGATTTCTGCTGTTCTTCTCTTTTTTGTCTTTAAAAAATAAAAAAAGATTTACTTGCAAGAGTTGTTCCACCGATTTATTCTTCTTTTTAAACAAACCTCTCTTTGTGAGCTTGTTCATCTTCATCAATTGTAATTTCTTCCAAGTTTTTTGATTCTTCAATTGCCACCACAACAAAATTTAAATTTTCATGTGAAGATCGAATAATTTTTTTCTACCCTTGAAGATTACTTACTTATTCGTCATATCTTTTTATCTTATTGATAACCACCAATAATCATGAGAGCAACTGAAATTGATTTAGATTCCTTCACGAATAGGGCCTAATATTCTCTTCTCAAATATTGAAGACGAAATTTTTATTTTATTTTATTTTATTTATTTATTTATTTATTTATTTTTTAAACTTTGTTCGCACCTTTGTATATATTTTGAAGAATCTCCTATGCTTGCTTTGAAGTGGTAGTATTGACTCATTTTGAAAAATCGTATCATCCCAAACTTGATGAATCTTACTAAGAGTCTTTTGATCTTCTGCTTGGTTGCCTGTTGCAAGTCTCTTTATGCTTGAGACGTGCCCTCTTCGTTATGATGTGCAAAACCTTTCTCTATCTAGTCACGCAAATTCTTGACTTCCAAGATATGCTTTCATACGAATACACCACGTGCTATACTTATCATTAGTGAATTGAGGAACAAGAAGAGAATTGTTGTTTGCCATCTCTTCTTTTCACACTCTTATAACCTCTCACTCTAATACTACTTTTGTTGAAAAATTGGATATGGAACAACAACTTCCAGAAGAAGACAACATAATATTCAAGAGAAAACTCAATTTTAATTTTAACACTTCAAAATGAGTTATGAAAATGAATAAATAACTAGCCTATTATAAGTTTTACAAACATGAATGTATATAATATAATCTATTCAAATGTACTAAGTATGAAATGCCCTATTATTCCCAACACGAATCAATGAATACATGTATCACATTTATATACATGCACGTATAATGCCAAATGACACTTGAATTAACTTACGTAAACAAAGTTTATATTTACATTAGAATTGACAAGATTTAAGCTCTTTAATCTTTTATATTTGCTTTCCTGTTAAACACGAGCAAACCATATTTCAACGCCCACAGGATCTCTGCTTCAGGGCACTCTCTCCGGAGTAATGCTATACGACCCGCATGGATCACCATACACACACATGGGGGTGGAGGTTACTTTATTCGCACGGGACCCATACATCTCATGTGAGGGCGCGGTTATCGGGGATGTCGTCATGAGGGTCAAGTGGCATTTCCCCTCTCTCCGTGGAGGAATATGTCATCGAGTTTTATCAATTATTGGCTCGAATTGATGTCTCCAAAACTGTACATCAGTATATGGGTGGCGTTCGTATTACATTCTCAGATACTCTGCATATATTTTCTCCTACTTCTATTTTGGAAGCCCATCAGACTGCCATTCAGTGGGAACGAAGAGGATGGGGAGATAAAAAATTCTGGTACAGTCAGTAGTGATATTCAGCGGAAACATACAGCAGACCCACACAGCACAGCAGCTGGTTCAACTCTGCCTAATGCTGCTACTGATACTGTAGCACGTACTGCACTTCCGGCAGCAGCACGTAACCAACAAAGGACTCGAACTACAAGTGTGTTCTGTGGTGATATCGATCGGGCACTGTCAGTCTGAATGTCCCGAACAGATACATAAAATGACATTAGCTGAGGGAACTGATGATGCTGTTCATCGACCACACCACTCACGACCGTATTTTTGCCACTTCAGAGAAGTACAAAACAGCTGCTGATAAAAAATTCCAGGAGATTCATTTCTAGGTTGGTGACTTCTTTTGGGCTGTGTTAACCGATGACCTCATCCTCGCACATGAATTACTACAACCAAACCCGCACATGAAGTATTCCATGAGGATATTTGGGAGCTTATACGACCTCAAGACAAATTTTATTGCGGATTTCCATAAGCCAGCTCCATTTTTCTTTTTCTTTTTTTGCTGAAAGGATCCATTGTATTTTTAAATTTTGATGTTTGATTTGTAGCTGAGTTATAATTACTTGGATTATTTGGTGTACATTATACCTTCTTATATATCCAATTAGGGGTAAGCAGTTTGATTTGAGTAGTTTTTAATTTCGTCGTATATAATTAATTGTTGTTTCCTATAGGGTAACTAGTTCATGACAATAAAAAAATCTTTGTAATTTATTGATTATAAAACTAAAAAATTATATATGTCAAACTATATATTTTGATATAAAACATTATAAAGTCACAAAATTCAAAACGAAGTTAAGGTTAAATTCGAACACGATAGAAGTTAATATAAAGATTAGTTTAAAACTTTAGCTCCTGTTTGTTACATATTTCTTCGAACTTATTTTTCTCAAATTCATTTTTAATCATATAATCTTCCAATTAAATGATTTTGCACGTGAATTCATAAATTTTTCCTTTTTTAACCACACTTTTTTAAAATAAAATATTTTTTTTCACAAAATCTATGATAAAAAAATCTACATCAAACCAAAACTTAAGTTATATTTGAAGATTAAGATTTCAATTTAATAGTATGATCCTTCTTGGAAAAATATATGTTTGAAGTTTCATTTTGGTTTCAAGACGTTTCTATGTGCCAACAAATCACCTATTTCTGAAAGATGGTTATGATTTAGTTTTTCGGTTTGGTAGTTTTTGCTTATGTACCCTACTTTTCGTTCCAACAAGCTAAAGTGGGATTGTGGAATTTGTGTGTATTTAGTTCTTGTTGTGATGAACAATCGATAAAGTTACTTTTTCAAAACTTTTTGATGCTCAATTGATTTTGTGAGTGCTGTTTGAAAGAAATATTGAAGGAAAATAACCGTGCATGATGAGGTAATTATTTTATTTTCCATAAAATCTTATTTTCTTTCTAAAAGTTGCAATAAATATTGCTACACTTGCAGGATTTTGATTTTTGTATATTTGATGATTGCTAAATGATACTTTGGAGTTATAAATATTTTCTGCAGTACTTTTCTAATACCGAAATGATTTTCTATTGTTAGAAGGTGAAAGGTTGGAGCTAGGAGTCACATATCATGGAGATAATAGAAAACTTGGTTAGCCTCACGAGGCATAATCCAGTGGTGCAAATGATAAGAGTGAGGTAGTCTCATCCTTACTGGCGGCCGCAGTGTGAGGATTTGATTCCTG